TTTCATGACATCTGCTCTGACAAGACGTTCTCCATGGTGCCAGGACTGCATGAATTTAAATGTGTTACTAGGTTGGCATCTCGGTCCCACCCTTCTACTCCAACAGCTTCTTCTCTCGCACTTCCCGACAATGGAACTCCCTTCTTTTTACTTGCTCCCCTGATAGCTATAATCTTTAAAAATTTAAATGTAATGTCAATCGACATCTTCTGTTGCCTTGATCCCCGTTCTTCTTTTTGTCCTTTCCTCACCCCCCTCACTTCCTATACCCAGACTTTTCCCTTATTTACATTCTCTGTAGCCCGTTCCGTACTAGTGGCACTCCCGCCTTGATTGGGGTGAAATGCTTAAAAAATGTCTTGTTGATATAATGCATTTATTGTTTATTGTTTGAATTCCATGATTTTGTGTTTTTGTTTGTTTTTGGTTTTTTTTTTTTTTTTTTTTTTTTTTGTTTTGTTTTTGGTTTTTTTTACCGGGACTCGTATGAGTCCGTCAAATATTATTTCCGAGACAAATGTGCCAGGAGGCATAAAATGAGAAATTCCATTCCCGCAGTAGCTTATATAGACGTTGAAAAAATGATGATGACACTAATAACAGTTCTTCATATTGCTAATTTGTAATCATTCATTTTATAAACCCGACTGCGTCGATGTATTATTGAATAATTGTAAACGCCGTGTTTTTTTTTGTAACGGCATAGTATGTGCTACGCCAGAGCTACATATGGTTTTGACTTCAGTGTTTCATTTTTCATTTGGCTGCCAATTCTCTTTCTTAGCCGCTGTCATAACACCACCTGCACGTCTGCATTAATATATGTCAAAATTTAATAGTAAATATCGATGACCAGTTAAAATCCATATAATATTCTGGCAATAACGGCTGGCCAGCATCAATACCATACATTTTGATTTTCAATGCATTTTTATAGTAAAATTTTTATCGTTGAATTTACATGACGCACGTTATACAACCACATTCACTCATAAACACTGGAAAACCTTTTTCATCTTGATTTTAATGCATTCACATTGATTAATATACTTTCAGGATGCAGACCGTCCCGTATGACTCTTTACAACATCTTTACCATCACAGTATTAAATAAGTTATTGTAAATGTTTCTAAGAGAGCTTTTATAATGTGAAATTCCTATGCTCTATGTATCATAATTATATCCTGAAATGTTACCAGTTTGGCTTAGTTAATACCATGTTTGTGAAAATGCAACAATAAAATCGTTCATACTGTAATTAGCATATTCTCTGTTACACTTTGTCTTAATTTCTAGCCACTAATAATTCCATTTTGTTTTCCGCTAATCAAATTATTCTACATTTATAGACTTAATAACACTACTTCACAAGTTCTGTCTACATTAACCAATTAATGGCAACACAAAATATGCACAATATATATATATATATATAATATTTTTTATCATAAGGGATTATACAAACATAATTATAAAACATTTTACATGGCCACACAAAAGCTTTCATGTTTCAATACTATTATAGTACTTACCCAGGCGGTAACTTGTGATAAAAATGATTTATTAGGGAAATTTAAAAACAAATCGTTACCTCCTTTTGGAAGTTAAAGGTGGGCATAAAGTCAGAATTAAAAATATACTTGTGGATGTGTCGACTAACTAATTAAAAGTCAGATCTACGCTAAAATAGAAAAATAAGTTCAAAGGGTGGAGTTAGCTGTGTTATTTTTTTCATGTCACGATAAACTGGCGCCTAGACATGTTATCCAACGATTGTAACAAACGTGGCAGCGACAAATGTATTATGGATGTAGCCAAGTAGGAAGTTCCCATTTGTTGTGGTGGGAGAGATTAATCAGACATAAAGTTATCAGAAACAAAACTCCATCTGTTCTTTCTCTTATTTCAAGATATATATATATATATGTGTGTGTCTGTGTGTGTTTGAAAAAAAGCTCATGTATATTACTGTTGGAAAAATCAGTTAATAATCATAGGCTTTTATCTAGAGCTAGTTACTGGGTAAATTCCTAACAACTAAAAATGAAGTTTTTCATTTCTAGTTTCCATATTGGAACCATCTGAACCTTTCGAACAAATCTGCTCTAAATTTTGCCAAGATCAAATTCTCCTTTTTCTATTCTGCTTGATTTGTCAACCCACAGAAATATTAATAAATGAATAGCCTCATTTTTCTCACGTGCAAATAAATGTTTGATCATTTTAACAGTGAATTTTTACTCATTATTACCCGACGTAAATCCCAAATTGATGTTTTGAAATTGTCACATTTCTTTTCTCTTCTGAATCATGTAAAAAAAAATACAAATAAAATTTATTTATTCATTTAAATTTTGTTCAGCCACTTATAAAAAAAAAGATTTCTTTGGCTTGTGAAAATATGTAGAATACAAGACGTGGTCCACGAACCGGAACTGCGCTCCAGATGCGATTTAGCCCGCGAAATGAAAAAATAAAATTAGACTGCTCTTATAAATTATAATCTCGATTGATTTTTTTTAACCTTTTTCACCTTCGAGTAAGGGGGCTCACGTTGAAACACCGGTTCTCGTACGTTTAGATGTGCGGAGAGTCTAGTGGATAATGGTTCGGAATTGTTAGTCGGAGAGCTGAGTTCCAATTCCCCGCACAGTTCATTCGATTCACTTACGCGCAAATTCCCTTAGGAAAGGTATGAATCCACTTCTTCTTCCCCTAGCTATGGGTTAATTACTAAAACTTGTATCACTAAACTATTATTTCAAAATGAAAAATAAAAAATAAAACTGCATAAAAAATATTTAGATTCCGGCATTAAATAATCCATAGCTGTTGATCAGCCGCTAAACAAAATCAACCGACCAAATCCAAGCAAGAGGATAATGCCACTAAATCACAGGGAGTGAAAGAGAATGAGAAACTTTTAATGAGATATGAGGAAAGGACAATAAAGGAACAAGGTTGGCGAAAACAGAATATGGCGATTGACGTTGCATTTTGATCAGTAACTGAGGCATATCTTTTTGAGCGCAGATCCATAGTCTTTCGAGGCTGCACAAGCGCTGCTTTTAAATTTATGGATAAAAGTGACAGTAAAGCACGAAATCGAAAGGCAGTTCCACAGGTGAGAAGTAATTTTCCGGTCAAACAAGAGTTCCAGTGTTAATGTCTTGGGAGACTAGCCAGTTACCCCACGGTGTGATGTCTTTCTGCTACGCCACTATTGAACGCACAATGAAAATGAAATATTGTAGGGTCATAATGGCGTTTGTGTCTTGCTTGCTAACCAATATTTTATAGCTTATGCCATAAGACCATAAGTGAGTATAACATTCCGTCGAGATGTTTGAAACTTGATTGTTAACCAGTGTTCCACGGTGATTCTTTACTTAATTCGGTACAATGACCCAATTGTGGGGCAGATTTTTAGTTAAAACTGTTAAAACTGTTAATTCACCTGCAAGATATGCTTTTTAGCAAGTACACAACTGTAAATTAGTCTGTAGTGGGTGAACACTGAACAACACCGATCTCGAACATTCGAGGATGCTATGAAATGGTAGGAGTGCCCGACTAACCTATAGGCTTAGCAGACTGAAGCCAGAGGCCTCAGAATCTAAGGAGCCTCCAGCCAAGTTGTATAATATTTTTAACACTGTCATAGGCATTTTTACACATGCTGTCATAATGCATTGTTGAATCCAAACAACTCTTCAGTAATTTTCCTTACATTCCATTTCAGAATAAATCTGTCTTCAGCCAATAACTCGATATTAGCATTGATTTCTTTATAGATATTTTTAAAAATATTCATGCATTTTTTTCAGCCACATACCGTATTTAACAATTACATATTATGTCCTTCAGAGGAAGAATTATCAACTGTGGAATTTTAAACTCCCGTTATCACCCTTTGCTTTACTTAAATTGTTTAATTTAACACTTTCATTTTCCTCTACTCGTTAGAATGAAAGATTTGGAAGGGCCTCACAAGTGGAATAACTTAGGATCTCTTTTAATCTAAATCTGGCCCTCAGTGGTAGGGATAAAAACATGCGACTTGAAATCGATATAATAGGGACGGCTTAATCTTAATAATTCATTTCAACGTGATCTTTGTGTGAATGCAAAAGGCATCATGGATTATATAATTTACATGAACCAGATAGGTAACTAGATATAGACAGACTTGGATATGTAGGTAAATGTAGACTGACTTAGATGGGTTGATAGATATTGGTAGAAAAACATTATTAAGAGGGGTGGTTCTAAAGCAATGCCTGCAACCTACTTATACGGAACTACAGGGAGACAGAGTAACTCCAGATTATGAAACAAGTTTTACTCTTTTTCACAAACTCCTCTTCATTGGCTACGCATTTTTATCAGCAATAAATAAGTCTCTATATTGCGGTCATAAAAATTTTCACTAGGGGAGGCGACCCACTTTTCTCCCACATTGATGTGACCACTGCTAAAACGCATAACTCTTTGTTCCCATCCACTCTCCTTAACGCTTAGCAAGCGTCTTTGAACGTAAATTTGTTCAATTCTTTTTCCACAGAGATAAATTCCATGACGCATTTCTGCTTCTTATGCTGTTTCATACCAGACGACATTTTGCTTGACTACCGCACAGCTGCTTTCTGCAAAAGACAAAAAATATGATTAATTGACTGGAAGGTTTAACATCTCTTGCCATGCCATACCATCAGCAATTGCCCCTAATATCTTGCGTCAATAAAATGTGAAGCATTACTTTCGGAGTTACCCTCGTATACAAATAGAAAAATAGAGAGAAAATATATAGTTATGGCGAGCTATCATTTTAACAGGCTTGCAGCAAGAGATTTTCAGAATAGTCATTTTTTATTTCATCAAAATAAAGTCGGCGGCTGGTTGAATACAAAAAAAAGATCGGATCTGCCAACAGCATGACTTTATTCAACCAATATTTCATTGTCTTTGTATCTAATTAATTTCTTCGTACAAAAATAAGTTTCGTGCCATTTTCTCTCTCTCTCTCTCTCTCTCTCTCTCTCTCTCATATACTCAGTAATTTTTTTCTCTTTCTCTCATATACTCAGTAATTTTCTCTCTCTCTCATATACTCAGTAACCTCTCACTCACTCATGCAGCCTGCGGCTAACCTTCTACAATGCCCCACTTCACATTTTTTTTGATATTTTAACTTTACTGTTTTCATTCCACTTCTTGTTGCCCAGATGACGAATGGCTTCTGATCACATGACTAATCAGCCAAACGTCTTGCTAATTTACGATCATTTTCAGATTAGTAAGACGTTCGAATCGATGGAAAAAAGCTTATTAAGTTAACTGACAGACAAAATTTGACATCCGGCTCCAAAACGTTTCCAATCGAACTGTTTTGTATCAAATAACAAAAAAAGTCTCCCAATGTGATTCCATAACTTCGCCTTTTTTACTTTCACATTCAGTTAAGGTTACCTGAAATCACCCGGTTAAGCCTTCTAAATAACCAATAACTTTTTAACATATTCATTTTATTTACAATTTTTTTCTCAAGAATGCCAGTTAAATGTTAACGTTTATTCAAAAGGCTAAAATAAAAAAAAAACGATAAAAAGTGTCGTCTAAATGCGCGTGTGCTCATACACACAGACAGACACACACACACACACACACACACATACATATATATATATATATATATATATATATATATATATATATATATATATGTGTGTGTGTATTTAGACAGCATATCTTCATTCAAACATATTTCATTGAATAATTTTGAATAATATTTTGTCTATTTTTATACTGATCCTTTCTAGTTCTCTAACCAGTTTCTTGATAAGATGAAATTAATCAGGGAAGGCACCATAGTTTTTTTCCTACCAAAGTACTTTCGACCTCCTCCAAGATCATCAGGGGTAAATTACAAAGACAAACATACTGTAATTGTGATAAAATCTGCATTTTTTGTGATGATGATTAAAAAAAAAAGCACGCGTGAACACGCTCTGCTATAATTGGTTTAAAATTTTAAATTTTTCCGTTGTAGCAACGGATGTTTTGGGTTTTTTTGTTTTTGTTTTTTTTTTTGCAAAACATGCGTTCCAATATAAGGGTGCTGACCGGAAATTGATAGAAATGTAAAATGGCATTAAGTGTTTGTTCTATGCATTTCATCTCATTGCTGCTACACACGTAATAAATTTTGTTGAGTGTTGGTTGCTTGCTTTTGATATAGAAGGCCTCCAGAATATGAATTTTTTGTTTATTATTTTCGTGGTGTATTATATTGGTGTAGTATATTGTCAACAAGTATTTCCTGTATTGTGACGATGGACTGGAATGCTGTGCAAATGAAGTGTAAGACGTCTTGAAAATTTTGTGTTCGTCAAACCAACATATGTACTTATTTTTTTTGCCAGAGATTCAATCTCCCAAAGGACATTTAAACTTATATACAATGTTGGTCTTTTCCAAAACATTAGTTGACAAGAAGAGTTATTGCGTATGGTTAAGTTGGTTGTGTTAAATTTAGTATAATATATAATTACTTATATTTATTACTGGGATCAGTGGGGAATATGTTAATAAATATACGATTTTTTAGGAGATTTTCATCTTGTTTATAGTTAAAATACATTTGATTACGGTATAGTAGGTTGATATGCTTAAGGTTATTTGAGGAAGTATTATGTTCTTTTTGATTTATGTTAATATTTCTAATGGCTTCTCTAATTTGTTCATCAATGATGTAATTAGGAAAGTTATTATTAATGAGAGTTTGTTTTAATCTTTTTTTAATTCAATGTAGTATATTTTCGTGAAGGAGTTAACTTTTGCACGGTGTATTAAATTTTGTAAAATAGCTATTTTGTAATAGTTATCAAGTAGATTATCCGTTGTTTTTTACTGTGAACCTCTTGCTATCTGTCCTGTGAGTATCAGATTTTCCAATCCTTCTTTCCTCATTATGTACCCTAGAAAGTTCAACTGTCTCTTTCTGATGTTAATTATAAGTTTACTTTATGTTTCCATTTTCTCTGAAACTTCGCCGTTGCTGACATGATCGATCCGTAGTATCCTCAGCATCCTTCTGTAGAACCACATTTCTGTTGCTTTAAGTCTCTTCTAGCTTCCAATCTACTACTAAGCTTAAATTCATAAAGTCGAGATACCACAAAGCAACGCTCACCAGAACAATTACCTAACTAGCTAAAAGTTTCAGTAAAAATTTCCCATGGGATTACCTGGATTGGCAGACCCCTAAAGAAAGCCGTAGAGAGCAACAGCCGAAACGTTGTGAAAGTAACAACAAAGATGTGGACATCAGTCCGATTACAAATAATGTAAATCAATATTGGAAGATATGGCTTTTGATTGAAACTGAAGAGTGGGGCACCTAGTGAGGATCGAACTAGTGAGAGTAGTATTGATATGCAAGATTAACTACCTATTTCTCCATACTGGCCATTGATCTTTAATTAGTTTCATTTGGTAAGGCACCAGACCACAAATGTATAGATTGCAGGCAGTGAGGATTGAACTCGCTATACGCGTCATTGTCGCGGAAGCTGGCTCGCTAATCATTGGCCCCAAGATGAGGCGGAGAGGATGGACTCTTATGTAACTGCTAAGATTTCAAAATTATGGTTAACACAGGTTGCGAGAAAATATGGTGGAAGTGACTTCTGTGTGAGTAAATGAATAAAAATATTCTCGCGCCTCTTACAAACCGAAACGTTAACTAAGTTTGAACAGAGGAACAAAATTAAAATTAAAAAAGAAACAAAAAAAAATATGTCCTCTGTCGACGGTTTTGATTCTGTTACTCTTTTCAGTTTTCTCCGGAAAGACGCCATAGTTTCCTATCAGGATATCAGCTAATTACAAAACTCACAAGTGATATTTTTTTTAAAAATGTGCATGTATGACTGTGCAAAAGAGTTTATGAAAACAAGACTTTGCTTCTTCTTTCTTTTTTTCTCTCTCTCTCCCTCTCTCTCAGATTAATTTCCTCTTTACCTCTTTTTCTCTATTTTCTCTTTGCCTCTGTGTCATTATCTTCTTTTTTGAATTTCTCTCCCACTCGCTTCTTTGCTCTCTCTCTCTCTCTTCCTCTCTCATTTTCCCTTTCTCTCTCCCTCTCTCGTTTTCCCTTTCTCTCTCCCTCTTTGCCCTCTCTCTCGTTCTTCCCGTTTCTCTCGTTTTCTCCTTTCTCTCTCTCTCTCTCTCGTTTCCCCCCTCTCCCCTATCTCTCGTTTTCCTCTTTCTATATTCACGACTTTTCGGCCGTTGTATGCTCCGGCCTTCTTCAGGTGATGTTTGTTGGAATTTCGAACCCGAAGCCTTTATTTAGTCCACGGGGGTAGATTCTATTATTTCAACTTCATCCCACAGAGAGAGGTGATCTCCTCTTTTCTCTCCATATATGGTCAGCCATGCCTGATTTTTCTATTTCTCCTTATGTTACATCCTTACAGTGTTCCTGCAGTCTTATCTTAAGGGGGCGACATGTTTCTCCTTTATATTTTTTACCACAGCTGCAAAGAAAACGTTCTCGGAGTTAGTTTAACTGAAAAATATAAAGTATTAGAAAATCGTTTAAATTTAGAATGCCATCACACCTTTTCAGGTAAAGTCACTTTCTTTAATCAAAGTTCTCATCTGTTCAGTGGATTCAAAACATTCACTTCTGTCGACAATATCGACTTGGCTCGTAAACTTCAGCTGAAAAAAAAGCGTATAGTTTTGAAATGAAATAACGTCTTTATTAGATAATCTATTCAGAGTAATGTCGTCATATTTGTTTCTTTGCTTGTTACGTTTTGCTGGTAGTCTGAGGGCTGTCAGTACGGAAAGTGAACTCTGCGAACCGAGTTCAAATTCCAGTTACTGCTTTGTTTTCACTTTGGCACAAATTTCATTGTGAAAGGCTTGAATCAATCCCTTCTCCCTAAGGCTGTGTGTTAAATAATAGACTGGAATTTCTAGTTTAATTTAAACCGTTAATCTAGAAGAGTCACCCTGAATTCAATACTGAACAAGAGAACGGGAAACTACTCTCCTATCTTTCCCAAGAACTTATGGCAATTCACAGATGATAACGAGTCTAAATATGAACATGGTCGACTACGGATAGCATTAAGTAAAAAAAAAATTATGCCCAAGCTTTTTACTCAAATGAACTATTCATTGTGTCATGTATAATTATGATTATTGATATAAACCTGTAGACGATCGAAGAGTCAACGATTTAAACATTAAAATTACCCCGAAACTTTAAGTAGTAGTATATATATATATATATATATATATATATATATATATATATATATATATGTTGTGGATTCCGAGATGAATTCGGTCTCCAGGGAATGACAAACGCAATAATTAAATATAAGAAAAAAAATGTATTTACACAATCATACAAAGTGTAATACTGTTAGTAAATTCAGGAACGCGGTTAGTAGCAAATACAGATAGATATATACAGTCTCGAAGTAGGACTTCCTTAGAGTCTACGTGCTTGTAACTGACTTCTACAAGACGTTACCTCACACTATCTCCGTTCGTATATTCTCACGCTCCCCGTATATCCTCTCTTTATCCGACTCCCCTCACTGACTGTCTACTCTGGGTATTTAACGGCAGCATTCCAAGTACACTGGTAGAGTCCACTTATAACAAAAGGGGAGGACCCCATAAATATATATATATATATATATATATATATATATATATATATATATATATACATACTACTAGCCGGCTTTTACTCTGAAGATCTGTTTAGGTGAAACCTAGGTCGGTTTGCCTGGCTCCTTAGGATTATTCTAGTTTATCGCTCTACTTAACGTATTGAGCACTCTACGAGAGTAAAGTGAAGGCAAGATACACTACTCACACATTGTACCTGGAGTGTATGTAATGTTTCCGATGTGCCATTGCCACCCTCTGGCTGCCCACTTTTTTCTTACTCTCGTTTTGGAGTTTTTTTTCTTTGGACTTGTAGCTTAACACTTGACGATTGTTTCGCCTTGTTTTAATTTTTTTATTCCCAATTTTTCCTCGGGTACCGATTTGTTCTACTACAAGTTGAGCTATCCAAGTTTTTCCAAACGAGTACTACCATTTTATATATATATATATATATATATATATATATATATATATAAATTATTTATTTAAAAATATGATTCCAACACGCTACATAAGAGTTCTCATGTTTCACAACAAGAGCCGAAAACTTCAATATAATAATTTGAATTAAATGTGTAAGGTGTTAATAATTTGTATCAGTATAAAGTTACATTCACATATGTCAAGTCAGGGTAAGGTTGGGGTGTCAAAATTTTAAACGGAAGATGATTTCGCCTAGTCTGGTTTACGTGTCTATGGAGATTTATTTATTTTAATTTTTTCTTTTTTTAACACCTTACACCCCCTTTTATTTAAACAATTGCTCTAGCCGTTACCATAGAAATTTTGATTTCAATAATGAATATGCTATTAAAACACGTAAATTTCAGAAATAAGTTATTCAAAAAAAAAAATTCGCTTGAAGATGGAACAGAGCTTACTTTAATTCAATTTAATTCAAATAATTATTTTGAAGTTTTCAGCTCTTGTTTTGAAACATAAGAACTCTTATGTCGCGTGTTGGAATCATATTTTTAAATAAATAATTATATTTATGCTCTACTTTTGTATCGAGTACTATTTTTTTAAAAATAATAACAAAAATACTATAGAACATTGGATTATTTACCTAATGAGTTCTTTCCTATTTTCTATATATTTTTCATATATATATATATATATATATATATATAATGAAAAGAAAGAACAATCATATTAATAATCCACAGTTCTTTAGCATTTATTTTTTTAAATAGTACTCGATACAAAGTAGAGCATAATATTATATTATTATTATTTGGTGTGGGTATGTAATTTCTGTTGGTCGCCAAGCATAAATTACATATCCACACCAAACCTTAGACCTACATTTTTCCATCTTATATTAGACCTGTTTCCTGATTCGTCAAAAAAGACAACACCCATTTAAAATTTTGGAATCTCATGCCCTCTCCAACTTAAACTCTTAAATATAATACTAATTCGCTTAAAAAAGTAAATCATTTTTTCTGAAGTTATTCAACACGCTTTATCAACAATCTTTAAATATATAGCAGGAGCACCAGATCATATATAGCAACAATATTCAAAGCATGGACGAATGGTAGTTATAGATATGTAAGATAGATTCTGTAGAGAAAATTGTCTGGCGGGGAACCTATTTTCTTTATTAAATAAATACGTATGTGGTTTTTCTTTCCTGTAATATTGAGAAAAAGGTGGGTACTCTGTATTGATTTCTGAATGTATTACATGGTCTATTGTCAATTCCTCAACAAATAATTAAAACTAAGTTTTTGACGAAGGAAGGAGAATTTGCTGGCCGAAATGTTGAATGTCGTTTCTTTGAAGAAGAGTATATGACTGAGCGATACTATGTGCGCATGCGCGTGCGTTTTCTGGAATTAGCTTATTGAGACAGAAAAGAAAATGTGGATATTGCGTGTGAAAAGAATTAAATGTTCATTCTTCTGAATGTCAGAACATATAGCAGCAGCAACTGAAAGTGCTTGTAAACTGATATTCGTTTCAATATCAATAAATGAAATGTCAACTCTTCCCGGTTTCAGAAAATCTTCCCGTTCCTGAGCTCACCTATCTCTTGCATTCTCTATTCTTTCCTTATTAACTTTCTCTGCTTTATCCCCCTCTCACACTTCTCTTTCTCTCTTAGTTTTGTCTCTCACCTGTCTCATATTCGCTTGCCTTTCAACTGTCTCTCAGCTACCTGTCTTTCTCTCTCGCCTCTCACCTACCTGTTTCTCTCTTTCTCTTCAGCTACCTGTATCTCTCTCTCTCGCCTCTCATATGCCTGTCTCTTTCTATCACTTTCACTCCTCACATGCATGTCTCTCTTTTCACCCCTCACCTGCTTGTCTCTCTCTCTTTCACCCCTCACCTGCTTGTCTCTCTCTCTTTCACCCCTCACCTGCTTGTCTCTCTCTCTTTCACCCCTCACCTGCTTGTCTCTCTCTCTCTCGCCTGTCATCTGTTTGTCATTCTCTCTCGCTCGCCTCTCACCTGCTTGTCTCTTTCTCTCGCCTCTCACCTGCCTGTCTCTTTCTCTCGCCTCTTACCTGCCTCTCTCTCTCTCTCTCTCTCGCCCTCTTACCTGCCTCTCTCTCACCCTCTCCTGTCTCTCTCTCTCTCACCTCTATCTCTCTCTCCTCTCCTGCTCTCTCTCTCTCTCGCCTCTCACCTGTTGTCTCTCTATCTCTGCCTGTCTCCCTCTCTTTCTCGCCTCTCACCTGCTTGTCTCTCTCTCTCTCTCTCGCCTCTCACCTGCTTGTCTCTCTCTCTCTCACGCTTGTCTCTCTCTCTCCCCCTCCTCACCTGCCTGTCTCTTTCTCTCGACTTTCACCTGCCTGTCTCTCTTTCGTCTCTCATCTGCTTGTCTCTCTCTCTCTCTCTCGCCCCTCACCTGCCTGTCTCTCTCTCTTTCACCCCTCACCTGCCTGTGTCTTTCTCTTGCCTCTCACCTGCCTGTCTCACCCTCTCTCTCTTCTTACCTGTCTCTCCCTCTCTTACATCTCAATTCACTTTCTCTCTTAGTTTTGCCTCTCACCTGTCTTTCTGTTGCCTCTCACATGTGTCTCATTCTCACTTGCCGCTCAACTCTCCCTCCCTCTTTTGCCTCTCTCTCAAGTTTCTCTCTCTTGTCTGTCACTTCTGTCTCTCTTTCTCTCTCGCACCTGTCCCTTCTAAACTTTTCATTCTTCCTCTCTTTTTATTTTTTTCATAAATTGCCACCTACATAATTTTTGTATGCTTTTTACCTATTTTCATACCAGTTTTTTTTTTATGTTCCTAATGCTTTCCTTTATTTATTTTTTTTTTGTGCTTCTTGTCGATTTCTCTTTCGTTTACACTTCCGATGTTTTATCTTTCCATTCATTCTCTTCTTCCCCCCCCTCTCTCTCTCTACTCTATCTTCTCCCCGCTCTCCCGTAATTGTTTTATTTACTTTCCTACATCTTCCTGTTGCTGTTCTTTTTCTTCTCGTCTCTATCTCCGTGCCGACTTTGTCTTCTATTCTGTGTCGACCTGGCAGTCGGATCAGGTGGTATGATGAAACCTGTGACGTCACTGCCGCCTGCCGGTGAATGAGCTTTCGTATCTGAAAGACAAATGTTGCAGTGGATAGGAATTAAGGCGAAAAAAAAAATAATGAACCAGTTAAAAAAAAAAAAGAGTTGAGAAAATCCATGAATGGTTGTAAGCACTTCATTCTTCCCGTTTTCAGTTGCATATTCCTCTTACCTGCTGCTGTGACTTCTTGTTAATGAGCGCGTCTGCAGAATTTTGATTGAGAAACTCGCGCGGAATACGTACGCGCGTAAAACACTTAAAATTACGAGCGGAAAATACAGAAAAAAAGAAAAACGAAATAAGGAATAAAAAAATAAGTAAGAAATAAAATAAAATGATTGGAAAATGATCACAACTTAGCTAATAACTTATTTTTTTTCATTTGTCTTTTAATGTTCGTGTGTATCTAGAATTCTTTCTTTCTCAATTTGTCTGTTTTTAGCTAGAGAGATACCGGCATAGATAACTAGATAGATAGATATTGATATAAATATATAACTGTGTCTCCGAAGGAACATGTATGCTTCATCAAAAACACACTACTTTAGACACATGCAAACGCACATGAAGGTGTATATATATATATATATATATATATATGATAGATTAAATTTACTGGTTTACTATTACTGGTTTAAAATACTCAATTTATGTTTAAACGAACTCTTCATGTCTGAAGATTGTGCTTAAGCATGAAACAAACTATCGCCGCTGTGTGTTGACCTCAATGTCCAATTTTATATTTACATATGCTCTATCACTTATATCGAGCATTTTAACCAATGATTATAGAATACAATCAACTATATTTTATCACACACGCATAGCTAATAAAAGTAAAAGATTTGTCCCTCAGCTGATTGATGTTACCTTCAGCATACCGACTCCAGAGTTTCGTATACTGACCATTCGTCAGGAGGTATCAGGAACTGACTGCTTATATTTCTCGATTTCTCTTTTTTATATGCACTTAAAATTAATAAATAATAATGTTTGACTTAAAAGGTTGGCGGTTTCAAATTAAATATTAAATACATGGATTTGAAAAAAGTTAAAGTTACGGGAAGTGAAAAACTGAGTACATTTTCGGGGACGATGTGTATATATATATATATATATATATAAACGTAAAAGAACGGAGAGTAAGATTTCAACGTCCAAAATATTAATTAAAAACAGGGTTCAATACAAAAGTAGCGATTTGTGATTTCCCAACAGGTGAAACGTTAAAACTTTTTAACGTTGAAATTGGGAGTTGAAATTGAGGTACTGTCCAACCTCAATTTCAACTCCCACCAAAGAAAGGGATCGTCCGCTGCTGACGACACCGAGCAAAAGTCATAAGAGGCGACCCAGAAACATTATATAAAGAATTGGTCAGTATTAATAGTACCCTAGAATGTAACATCTCCCCTGGGTACATGTCAGCAGCCAAAAAAAAACTGGGATAGGCGGGTACAAGAGGAGGACAACAACACTCAGAAAACAGTCTGCCTGCCTTATGTGAAGGGGTTATCAGAGAAAATACAAAGGTTCTGCGGTCTATATAACATCAGGACAACCTTCAAAAGGTAGACGACACTTCGCAGATATATCTCCCGAGTAAGACACCCATAGAGGAGAACATGACTAAAGATTGTGTGTACGCTAACCCGTGCAGCTGCGGAAAGGAATATAAATGAGAGACAGGCCGCCCCCTCAAGGTAAGGCTTCAAGAACACCAGAAATCTGTAACACTAGGGGAAGTGGAAAAATCAGGTGTGGCTCTCCACATATGGAGAGAAAAGGGAGATCACCGCCCTCCATGGGATCAGGTTGAGATCACAGACAAAGAACACCATTGGAAAATTCGTAAACTTAAAGAATCAGCACATATGCTAGGCTACAAAAATCTCTTAAGCCGACCAAGCATAGAAATGAATACAATATGAGAACCCGTAATAAGGAGTGCCAGAGAAAAGCTATAATAACAACAAAAATTGCAATATGAGCACTGGTAAAAAAACGGTCAATGAAGACATTAGGTTTATAATACCCAAAAATTCATACACAGATGGCACAGTGTATAAAGGCGTTGGTTATATCCAGTGACAGTATCCAAACAATACCAATACCCGGTTAAGGCAGTGGAGAACTTTCAGAGGGTAATTAACAGGAGATAACTGATAACTGATATCCACTAAATATGGCACGTGGAACTAGAATAGTCTACCACATTGAGTGATATCAAGGGTTCAGTTCGGAGCGTACAACAGCCGAAACGTTGTAATAAATATGACGACTAAGATGAGGATAATAGTCCGAATAATGTAAATAGTGTACATAATACCTCACCTCAGAAATATAAACATATATATAAATATATATATATATGTGTGTGTGTGTGTGTGTGTGTAATGTAAGCTTTTCACCAAGCTGATAAGCACCATAATTGTTGGTTGATTTATTTGACCTCAAGCAATTTAAAAACTTTAATAGAAAATTATTTATCCAATCAATTGTCCATTGACTTTTCTTCTCCTTTCGCAAGAATTCCCAGATTTCTTTCCTAGAAAAGCTTTTATATTTAAACAAATTAAAAAAAACAAGATACATTTTCTGAATTCTTATTCAATTTGTTCCCGATGTGAGAGGTTTTTGCCCATAAGGAACTGGCCTAAATGCTACTTGAAAAAAAGTAATTTGCAGAAAAGTGGTTGGGTCAATTGACTTTGTATAATATAGACTCTTTTATACGGATTCAGCTTTATTTTTTTATAAAATTAAATTCTTTCTCTTCACAAAATTGAGCAATATTTTAGTTTTTAATTTAATATCTGATCTATGTGCATTGTTTAATCACTAAAAAAAACAAACTTTCAAACTACATCTGCTTCACCTAACAATCGCCATAACACGGTTTTGGTGGATGGTTCAGCTTTTCCGTATTCAGCCATTATGCGTATATTTTCTGGTAAAAACCCATTTATATCCCAGATTATGATATGCAAAAAAATGAATCAATATTTGCTCTTCACCATGATTAATGCAGGTTTGAATAAAAGAATTTTGATTCTCGCTAAATTCAAATGGAACACTTTTATCAAGGTTTAGTGTGTGTATATGTGATAAACTCACTTATTTTGAATTATTCTATTTTCGTTTTGTTACAAATTCTGACATTTGTTTAGCATCGGAGGACACATATTTTCTATGAAATTTCTAGGACATTTAGGCCGATAAATGTAGTTAATAGTGCTTATTATAAAAAGAGCATTTACTTAAGTATTATATCTATAAAAATAACGTATAAACAGAAAATATATTAAAATAATTGTCGGACTTAGGCCATTTCATGATATATTTTGTCATTTGTTTACGTTAAGATAGGCTTCGAGCAGATATGAGCGTTCGAGAGAAATCATGAGAAATTTGTTGCTTAAAAGCAGTAATTTGACGCTTCCCTTGTAGCTAATCAGTCCAAATGACGGTTCCGTGTAGGATACAGGTTCGATTCCTGTCGGAGGACACATATTTTCTATAAAATTTTCGGACATTCAGGCCGGTAAATATAGTTAATACTGTTTATTATAAACAGAGTATTTCCTTAAATATTTGTATCGATAAAAATAACGTACAAACAGAAAATATATTAAAATCATTGTCGGACTTATATATTAAAATCTATAGGTAGTAAATCAAAATTACAAATAGATGCCTGCATGAATGTTACCAGAAGCTTATATATATATATATATATAGTTAAACAATGTTCACCCGAGAAAACTTAGGACACATTTCATTTTCTTTATTAAATTTTCTCGAGTGCACAAGCCGGTAGACGAAATAAACAGTTTTTAAAAATACTGAGAGTCTACTCAAATACGGATATTCACTAAAAAGTAACATTTGGAGTAATAAAGAAATTTGTAACCCGTTTATTTATCATCTCTCAGTTGCGTCTCTGTCTTTGGACAGGATGCACTCAGGACGGAGTCGCAACTGAGGAAAATTACACTGAGAGGTGTCCAACCTTTGGGGACAGCTGCCCTAGGCCACACCCTCTCATTGCAGCAGAGAGAGGGATGGGTGCTCGCATCGAGGCCAGAGTAACCGACGGTTGCGGGAGCTCGGGCAATTTTTGTTCCTAGCCCGGGTGTACGCGCTCGGACTCTCTACATTAAACTGAACTTGTGTCACAACCTGAGCTACTAGTGGGTTTGAGTAAATATATATATATATATATATATATATATATATTGTGTATGTGTGTTTAAAATTTACTATATCTGGAGGAGGCGGGAGAATGTCCGAAGGAAATCGATATTTTATAAATACAGGGCGTGGCAAAAATACCTTCCAGAAATACCTCTCACATAATAGTAAGACATCAGCTAGATGAAGACACCATTGCCACAAATGTCTTATCATTATGTGAGACGTATTTTAGCCGAACCCCTGGGTAAACAGAGCGAGCATTATAACCAAGACTGCAAGGTGACTGTCAGTTTCATGCCTGAATTTGTTGACTGTATATCACTGGGGGATTAAAGAAAGTTTGAGAGCGACGAAATTATCTCTTTTCAGTTCTTTTTGCTTGGCATTAAGTTTTAGGATTCTTTATTCGTGGTCATTGACAGCCATGTAGTTTTAATGTTATATATTTCTAATGTTAAATATTCTCTGTATAAAAAAAAACGAATGTGTAATGAGTTCATATAGTTGGCGTGAATACAGTTTCATAGCGCTTTCATATTTGAAAACTGGGTACGCATTTAAAAACACTTATTCTTTGTTCAACATTCATTTATCTTGCGTTCTGGACAAAAATGATAGCGGACATCATACACGGGTAGAAGTGTATGTAATTCCATTTATGGCGATCCTCCTGTTGGAAGCAGTACGTATCTAGGGAAACCTTTATGAAGAACAAGAAAGGTGAATTCAACTTCAAGGACAATCCACGCTGCAAGAGACGGCAAAAAGTGATGCTTTGTAAGTAAACTTTAGTAGATAATAAACACAATATTTTTTT